CCGGGAGCAGCTCCTAACCTTGGGTGGCCAGGCTCCCGAAGATGGCCTCGCTGGCGGGAGGCTGTTATGAGGGGCTGTGTGTGCGGGAGCGTCATCCCAGGTGCAGGGCCAGGAGCCCCCGTGGCCATTTCATCGACTCTCCCCAATGGCGCAGAAGCTTCTGAGGAAGCTTGACAGCTCCTCTGGGGGCCCCTCCCCTTCTCCTGGGGAGCACGGCCTGGCCTGTCGGCTCTGCCCAGGAGCCCCTTTCACCCGGAGCCGCCCGCTTCCGGGCCGCTTCCGGCCGCAGGGTGGGCCTGGCGCGCTGCCTGCCCTGGAGCCCCAGGAAGGAGGGCCTGGCGCACGGAGCGGAGCTCTTGGCCGGCTCAGGCCCACGTCCTCTCTGCGGGACGGGACACGTGTTCTGTAACGCCTCTTTTGTCTCAACGTGGAATCCATACAGAAGATCATCTGCCTAAGCGTGTAACGTTTTAGAAATTCAGTGCAGTGCTCTAAATATGAAAGGGAAGTAAGCAGTTATTTATGCTAATGTAACGATTCCCACGTGTACGTCCTCCGCATGGCCTGAGGGCGGCTGGCCAGTGCCTGGGGCGGGTGCATCCACACTCCTGAGAAAGAAGGGGCGTTGGCCTCCTTGGGCTCTCAGCGTGGCTGCCGGCGTGGCTGCGTTCCTGGAAAGATGAGTGAGTGCGCAGTAACACCGAGCAAGGTGTTCACTGCAGTGACGAAAAGCAGCTCTCGGATGTAGTCTCAGGTGACTGTAAGTGGATATTTGCCCTCGGGAGGGTCCAGGGGGACATTTAAAAGTCACTCCAGATGAGTTCTCACAGGCCTGGTTCTCGCTGCGACAGGAGCCTCTCGGTCCTCAGGACCTTGCACGTTTCTGGACTCGTGCGCCCAGGCAGGGGCAGCGCCAGCTCTCTGTGCAGCTGGTGGGGGACGTCTGGGGAGGGGGCGTGTGATGAGCTGCGCTGTTGTGTCTCCTGTGAGCTTGGAGAGGGATTTTGGAAGGGCTTTGTTGTGTTCTTTGTCTCTTGCCTAGGATCAAAAAGCAGCTGTTTAGGCACATCATTGTAAATCAGCTATACTTCGATTAAAAAAAAATAAAACAAAACAACGAAAAAAGCAGTTATTTTTAAAAAAACCCTGTTCTGCAGGCATTTTGTCTGCTCTTCCTCTGTAACGAAGCAGAACGTAGATGACTAAGGCTGCGCCCTAGTAAGCTGCTGGCTTTTACTTCTTCATCTTTCCAGACTTCTTCACATGGTTGACAGTGACACGCACAGTCTTGTCTCTGAAACCAGACACTTCTTTTCGGGGTGTGGGTGGGGTGCAGGCCCTTGTGCTTGCCTGGCGTGGTGCCCAGAAGGGTCTGCGCTGACCTTCTCCTTCCCTGTCTTCCAGTCCACGCCTTCTCCGTCGGCAGACCTACTGGGGCTGGGGGCTGCACCCCCCGTCCCCACGGGACCTCCACCCTCCTCCGGCGGGCTGCTCGTGGACGTTTTCTCAGACTCACCCTCCGCGGTCGCTCCCCTGGCTCCCGGCTCCGAGGACAACTTCGCCAGGTAGTCTGCCTCCTGCATCCCGAGGACAGGGGCTCCCCCCGCCCGGCCAGGCCTGCGCCCTGGGTGCCCAGGGAGGGAGGAGGCTCAGGCGCTGGGCAGGTGAGGGAGTGGTGGGCGCCCTGTGTGCTGTCTGCTCCCGTGGGCTGCGCCTGCCCTGCAGGACGCTTGTGCTCTGCTCTCCGTGCTGTGCCCCTGGGCTCTCTAATCACGCCCTGTGTCTGCCCTCCAGGCACCTAGCTTTTTCTTGAAGAGATGCTCTTCAGTTCACAGTCACTGCTTTGTCCTGTGGGGTCTGCTTCCAAGCCTGCTTCCTGCTCCTCCGCTGACCTGTTCCGTCCTTGTCACCTCTGTCTGACCGGTGTCCCGATGTTCACACCCCTGCTGTGGGCCAGCAGAGTCCTGCGTGCGGTCGACTTGGCCCCGTTCCCCCACTTTGAAGGCGAAATCCCAGGCTGCTCTTCCCCGCGCTTCGCTGCGCGGATCCTGCCCCTTTTCCCTGCTTGCTGTCTGTCCCTCTGTCTCTGTTGATCTAGATCCAGCCAGGAGGTGGGGGGCTCCCCCTCCGAGAGGAGAGCGGGTGTGAGTTCTGTCGTCTCCAAGGAGCGGCTGCTCGTCTTGGTCTTTGTGACCGCGGAAGAGTTCTTGTGGTTTTCTGGTTTCTCCTGTCTCTCTCCGTTCGCCCCGCACACTGACTCGTATTTCCTGTCGCTTGTTGGAAGTGACTGGGGAAGGGCGGGTTTGCAGTGCCGCCAGTTGTCCGTCTGTGGCGGAAAACAGACTCTTTTTCTTAAACTGAGGTATATAGTTAGTTGGTTTACAACATCATATTAGTGTCAGGTGTACAACGTAGGGACTCAACTTTTTTAGGTTATATTCCGTTTAAAGTTATCACAAAATAGTGGCTGTATTTCCCTGTGCTGTACAGTATATCCTTGTGGCTTATCTATCTTATGTGTAGCAGTTTGTACCTCTTACTCCCGTACCCTGTCTTCCCTCTCCCCCCTTCCTTCTCCCTGCTGGTAACCACTAGTTTGTTCTCTGTGTCTGTGAGTCTGTTTGTTTTGTTATATTCATTTATTTTTCAGATTCCACGTGTGAATGGCAGCATACAGTATTTGTCTTCTCTGTCTGACTTATTGCGCTTAGCATGACGCCCTCCAAGTCCATTCATGTTGCAAATGACAGAATTTCATTTTTGTATTGGCTGAGTGTGTGTGTGTGCGTGTGTGTGTGTGTGTGTGTGTTCCATCGTATATTATACCACATCTTTATCGACTCATCCGCTGACGGACACTTAGGTTGCTTTCGTATCTTCACTTTTGTAAATAATGCTGCTGTGAATATTGGGGTGCATGTATCTTTTCAAATTAGTGTTTTCATTCTCCTTGAATATACCCAGGACTGGAATTGCTGGGTCATGTGGTAGCTGTATTTTTAGTCTTTTGAGGAACCGCCATACTGTTTTCCAGTGTTTCACCAATTTACATCCCCACCAGCAGTGTGCAAGGGCTCCCTTTTCTTCATGCTCTCATCAGCATTTGTTATATGTGGTCTTTTTGATGATGGCCGTTCTGACAGGTGTGAGGTGTTGTCTCTTTGTGGTTTTGATCCCCGTTTCCCTGACGGTGAGTGATGTTCAGCATCTTTCATGTGCCTGTTGGCATCTGTATGTCTTCTTTGGAAAAATGTCTGTTCAGGTCTTCTGCCCGTTTTTTAATTGGGTCATTTGGTTTTTCGATATTGGGTTGTATGAGCTGTTTATGTTTTGGAAATTAAACCTCTTATTGGTCTTACCATTTGCAAATATTTTCTCCCATTCAGTAGGTTGTGTTTTTGTTTTGTTGGTGATTTCCTTTTGCTGTGCAAAAGCTTTTAAGTTCAATTAGATCTCGTTTATCTTTGCATTTGTTTTCTTTGCCTTAGGAGCAGATCCAAGAAAATATTTGCTGCAGTTTATGTCAAAGAGTGCTCTGCCTGTGTTCTCTTCTAGGAGTTTTATGGTTTCAGGTCTTACATTTAGGTCTTTAATCCAGTTTGAGTTTATTTTTATATGTAGTGTGAGATGTTCTAGTTTCATGCTTTTCCATGTAGCTGTCCAGTTTTCGCAGCACCAGGGGAAGGGAGAGCAGGGAAGAGGGGAGGGGAGGACAGGAGGGGCAGGGAGGGCCGCCTGGGTGTGGGCGTGGGTGTGCGTGGCCCGCGGACAGCCCCGGTGGAGGCCATTTGGAGGCCACTGCCGCGTGTCAAGTGGCCGAGCCTGTGGGCCGACCTGAACAAACGTGTGTGCTTTTGCCGTGGCGCCCGTGTCCTGCGTCAGTGGAAGCTGTTCACAGTTGAGCAGCACCTTCATGGAAGGCAGACGACCTGCTCCTGTGGTCATTCCTTGGTTGTGCCGTGTCACCCTCTCAACTTACCTCCCATCTCTAGCGGGCGCTTTTAATGGTGTTCGTCGGAATATTTGCTGCTTTTCCCTTCCCTCCTGTCCCAGAGAGGTTTTTCTGGTCTTCGTGTTCTTTAAACCCTTTTTCGAAACTGATCTTGGTATTTTTGGTGGGTGGGTGGCTTTGAGTGACTCACATGCTGTCCCTTGTCCCCCAGGTTTGTCTGTAAAAATAATGGTGTGTTGTTTGAAAACCAGCTTCTTCAGATTGGACTGAAGTCTGAGTTTCGGCAGAATTTAGGTATGTATTTTACTTTACTTAATGAAAACTTCTCTTAGAAGTTATGAGGAGAAAGTTATTTCCAAATCACAAATCTCAAAAGGGTCTAGTTTCTAGAATATATAGAGGACTCCAAATCAACAACAGAAAAACAACCCAGTTAGAAAATGGGCAGAAGTCTCAGACATTTCCCTAAGGAAGACATTCGGGTGTCCAAAAGAGCATGCAAAGGCGCCCACCATCACCAATGGTCTGAGAAATGCAGTCAGACCCATCGAGGTACCACCTCATACGCACCGGCACGGCCGCTATAAAAAACAAAACGAGGCTTGGCGAGGACGCAGAGAAGTTGGAAGCTTGTGCGCTGGGGGGTGCATTCGCTGCTGTGGCAAACAGTCTGGAGGTTTCTTAAAAAACTAAAAATAGAACTCCCATACATATGACCTAGCAATCCCACTTCTGGGTATTTACCCAAAAGAATTGAAAGGAAAGCAGGGACTGGAACAGGTACTCACATGCCCATGTTCACAGTCACCAAAAGGTGGAGGCAACCCAAGTGTCCATCCATTTGAGTGGATACACAAAATGTGGTTTAAACACACACTGGAACATTACTCAGCCTTAAAAAGGAAGGAACTTGTGACACAGGCTACACAGGGTGAACCTTGAGGACATCACACTCAGTGAAATAATCCAGTCACAGAAGGACTAATCCTGTCTGATTCCACTCCCTAGGGGTCCCTGGAGGAGTCACATCCACAGAGACAGAAAAGTAGATGGTGGGGCCCAGGGCTGGGGGAGGGGAGGGGAGTGAGTGTTCATGGGGACAGAGTGTCCGTTCGGGAAGACGGAACGTTCTGGGGATGAAGGTGGGGAAGGTAACACGACCATGTGAATGTGCTTCGTGCCCCGCCCTGTGCGCCTAGAGATGCGGAGACGGTAAATTGCAGGGTATATGGTGTATGTTTTACCACATTTTTAAAAAAAGCTTTCTGTGCCCCCCAGCCCCCCAAAATTGTGCCCACTGGCTACTGGGGCTGTTGCCGAGGGGCCCTGTGGGCTGCTGGCCCCGCCTCCGTCTTGGCACCATCGTGGAGCCTTGTCTGCGGAAACGAGTGGAGGGTGGGAAGGCAGCGCATCTGCCCCGTGGGGCCCCTCAGACTCCTTCTCACTGAGGACGGACGGAGGTGTTCGTTTCTCATTGGATGAAGGGGTTAGACTCCGGGCCACGGTGGCGTCACCCAGGAGCCGTGGTGTTTCTTAGGCTGTCGGGGAGGCATGCCTACCTGTGCGTCCTCTTCAGGAGATTTGAAGTTCACGTTCCATTCTGAATTCTGAGGGTGTAAAGACGTCCACAGAGGTCTGTGTGGCGGTTCCTGCTGTGCTGGCTCCGAGCCCCCCAAGTGCCGAGGCCGAGGGCTCGGGCGTCACTTGTGTGGGCCGGGGGCTCTGCTTTCCTCCGTGCAGCTCAGGAGGCTGTGGCGTGTCGTGGGAACAAGCTGCTTTGCTTCCTTCTAGGCCGGATGTTCATATTTTACGGTAATAAGACCTCCACGCAGTTCCTGAGCTTTACTCCTACGCTCATCTGTTCGGACGACCTCCAGGCCAATATCCTTGGTTCCGTTGCCCCTAGGCCCCTGGCAGAAGCGGGTGGAGGATAGACTAGGAGGGCGTTTCCAGGTGCTGTTAATGCAACCTCGGGGTACCTTCCCACACTCAGGTTGCTTGTTTATAACGCTGGTGAAGTACATGCAGGCCTGTTCCGGCCTCCACATCTGCTGGGGCTCTGGTCTCCTTGGGGAGTCTCCCAGGGAGCTGCTGCCCAGGCAGAGCGAGTGATGGGCCACCTGGGACGAGCTGCGACCGGAGACGGTCCCATATAAATGGCAGAACTGGGACGTGAGCTTCTCCAGCCCGTCAGCCTTGCCATCCAGGTGTCCTGTTCCCGCGATGATGGGCCACCTGGGTAAAGTGAGGGCGAAGGAGGCCCAGCTTGACCACCGAGGATGCCGCCTTCCCTGGAAAAGCCGTGAAGCAGGAACCTCCTTACTACAGGCCAGATCTATTTTTATTTTAAGATAAACACGCTTTAAACGTGGACCGTTGAAGCTAAATGTTTAAGTTATTAAAAACACACGTAGGGCAGGTTTCGTCCGAGGCCAGGATGTGAGCTCCGACTCCTGCCGGGCCCCTGCTGGAGCCCCTCTGAACTCGGGGCTCAGCCCGTGTTCCCAGCGTCGCCACAGCTTCCTTGACACACGCACATCTGAGCCTGCAGACCAAGCCTGTGGACCCCACCGTGGACGGGGGCGCGCAGGTGCAGCAGGCTGTCAACATAGAGTGCGTGTCCGACTTCACCGAGGCGCCCGTCCTCAACATCCAGTTCAGGTGGGAGCCCCGGCCGAGGCACCAGCCGCTCTTGCTGGACGCGGGGGTGTCAGGCTGGGCCGGCACGTGGCTGTGACGCGGGACCTCTGCATCCTTCCTTCAGAGGGTGTGGTGAGGACCGAGGGGTGACCTGCCGTGCACACTCCAGAGGCGTCTGCTACAGGGGGGTGTGGGAAGTGGGGGAGGGAAAGGGTGCCCGGGTCTGGGACGCCGGGTGGGCGGGGCCTTCTTCCCAAGGCCCGGGGCTTTCAGGCGAGAGACCGAGGGGCCTGTCCCGCTGCGGGCGCTGCGCAGCCTGCTGCTCCAGAGGCCAGCCGCCCGGCGCTGGGCCCACCAGGGCCTCCTCTGGGGTGTGAGCGCCTGTGTGTTGTACTCTGAGCGTACACGTCGGCCTGACTGTTTTTTCTGACGTGTCTGTTGCTTCTCGGCTCGTTCCTGCCGTCTTTCAGCGACTGTGGTAGAGTGTGCTTCCCAGCCTTCCCTGTTGGGCATTTGTAAGGTTAACTTTTGAAAAAGCACCTTTCCAAATACGAGGTATACAGGGACCTGCAGATGGTGTACTTTGTAAAATTTAGGGAAATAGACGTGCAGAATTTTTCTTTCATTCCGTAGGCACACTGTTTTCTTTTAGTCTTTTCATGGAAAAAAGAAAAAACCCACACGATTTAAACTTGGAGTTGTAGGACACGGACTGCTGGGGAACGGGAAGAGGCGGCGCCTGTCCCCGGCGCTGCGACCAGCCCAGCAGCCTCGGCCGGGGGTGGCGGGGGCACGTTCCCCGACGTCCTTGGCCATCGATGACGGTGCGCAGGAGATGGACCAGCCTCCCTGGAGCCCTGGGCCGCCCTTCCAGATCTCTCCGCCCCGCCTTTTGCACGCGGCCCCCCTGTGCCCTGGAGGTGGCACACTCGGGACGTGGACTCTTCCCAGCATGCCTCTGTGTTGCTCACAGGTATGGGGGAACCTTTCAGAATGTGTCTGTGAAGCTGCCTATCACACTCAACAAGTTTTTCCAGCCCACGGAGATGGCTTCTCAGGATTTCTTCCAGCGCTGGAAGCAGCTGAGCAAGTGAGTGGCGCCCTGTCCCCCCCGGGTGGGTGGGGGGCCTCGGCTCTGGCTCAGCTGACGGCACTCGCGCTGGCCTCGGTTTCCCACAGTCCCCAGCAGGAAGTGCAGAATATCTTCAAGGCGAAGCATCCAATGGACACAGAGATCACCAAAGCCAAGGTAAAGGTCTTGCTGTGGACGTTCCCAGGGTCGGGACACGACCGGAGTCCTCAGAGGAGGCTGGCGGCTTCTCGCCTCGGAGAACCCTCCACCTCTGCTGGCGCCGACGCAAGGGGCTCCTGTTTCTCCTGGTTCTTCCCACAGATTATTGGCTTTGGTTCTGCACTCCTAGAGGAGGTCGATCCTAACCCTGCAAACTTTGTGGGAGCTGGCATCATACACACCAGAACCACCCAGGTTGGATGCTTACTGCGTCTGGAGCCGAGTCTGCAAGCCCAGGTCAAGCCCCTTGAGGGAGCCGCTGAGCTGCTTCTAGCTGTGGTGTGATTCCCACACAGTGAGATGTGCAGATAGATCCCAGATGTGCACACCTGTGTAACCGCCACCACCCACCCGCTGGCGTGTGTGGCATTTCCATCGCCCCAGAAAGTTCTCTGGCACGCCCGCGTCAGCCCCGGCCTCCCTAGGAGGCAGCGCCGTGTGGCCCAGCGTGGGACCCGCCTGGCCCCGGGCTCCAGCAGTCACCGTGTTGCTGCTGTGTCCACGGTGGGTCCTCGTGGAGCACGTGGCCCTCCTTTGTGGGGAGTTGCCACTCTGGTTTGCCCAGCCCTCCTGTCGATGGACCTCAGGCTGCCCCTGTTTCAGGAGGCATTGAATATGGCTGCCGCAGACATCCGGACATGCCTTTGCGTGGGCATGTTTTCATTTCACGTGGGGAACACTCAGGGTGGGATTGCCGGCTCATGGGGTCTGGGCACGGTCAGCCTTGCTGTTCCGACAGCGATGCGGTCTCAGACGCCCACCAGCTGCGCATGAAGTTTCCAGTTGGTCCACATGCACACGAGCACTTGCTGATGTCAAACTGTTTTATTTTTGCCACTGAGGGCGTGTTCGTTGCTTGAACCTGTCAACAGTGGCACCTCCAGGGACGGGCTGAGCAGGGGGCCTTGAGGGGCCGCTGGGCGGGGCTGGCCCCGCGGTGCCTGCCCTGGCACCGCCACTGACCTTCTGTGTCCTCTGTTTCAGATGTACCGACTCACGCTGCGGACGAGTAGAGAAACCGTCTCTCAGAGATTGTGTGAATTGCTTTCGGAACAGTTTTAATCAACAAGGACGGAGGGTCAGGCTCCTGTGTCTGCGTTTTTCTTCATCTCCACTGTCGTCTTCGTTGCCATGCCGCAAGTCCACGCCCTGTGTAGCGTTGCAGCCCCGGGTGCCGCCCAGCCCTGCTTCTCTGGCCTCGTCCCTTGTGGGGGTGGATGGGAGCCCGTGTGCCGTCGAGGAAGAAGAGGCTCAGCCTGGACCCAGCCGCCCCGCCAAGTCAGGAGGAGAGGGGCGTGGATCCCGGGACTAACTCTTACAGAAATCAAGACGGTTCTGTGGCTAAGCCTACAAATTAAAGGGAATTTAGAAGTTTGAATGAAAATGGAAGGCGTTCGAAATTTTACCAGGATGCCGAGGCTGTCTCACTGACAGTCCATCTCTGGTGCTCTGAGAGGAGAGGCAGCGTTCTGTCTGCCATGGCAATAGATCTTGGCTACTTGGATGGGAGACGGGGAGGCAGCCCAAGGGTATGTCCACACGGGGCCCAAGCGCCGGCCTCGGCCAGGGTGAGAGCACAGTGCCAGGGGGCTTGCTGGGGCCAGGTTCTGAATCTAGAAGTCAGACAGGGTGTGTTCTCAATGACGATCGACAAAAGCACGTATCCTGGCTGGGTTTAATTCTGTCTCCCTCCCCAGCACTGTGTTCTTAAAGTGAGATCTGTAAAGCCGCCTGGCCGAGACCTGATGTGTGCAGTGCTGGGGGGATTCCTGGTGGCTCTGGGGGGGTGTACCTAACCTCATGCATCTTTGGGTTTCAAATGAGTGCACTGTCACCACAGTGGCCCAGGACTGCTTCCCGATTGTGATGGCAGGGTTTGTTGTGGGCCGACAGAGAAGATTTCTGGAAGGTGAGCTGGCCTCTTCCCTGTGCAGTGACCTAAAGGTGCCGGGGTCATGATTGCAGGCCAGGGTGCTGTGGACCTTGGCCTGTGCAGTGGGAGGAGGGAGGCCTGCGTGTGGTCAGGAAGCAGAGAGCAGAGTGGGGATGAGCTGGCACCTGTCCCCCCACCCCTCCGTGTGCGCGGCTCTCACGTGCTGTCCCCTGCGCCTCGAGATGCCGAGGCGAGGCCTGTGTCCTGTTAGCGGCAGATGCGCCAGGTGGGTGGCAGGCACAGGCTGCAGGTTTGTCCTCGACAGACACGTCCGCTTTCGACACTGAGGGGCCCAGGAAGAGCTGGGGCCCTTGTTGGTTACCCTGGTTTTCCAGCAGGGACCGGGCTCCCTGCCTTGCGGTGGGGAGAACCACGTGGGGCAGGGGGACACAGTGGCCCTGTGCCGTGGTGCGGGTCGCGGGGAGGCAGCTTCTGGGAGTCGCCATGTGGGTACTTGGGGCCTCCCACACTGCGGACGCCCCACTCAAGGTTCCCACACCCACCACCCTGTGCAGCCCCTGCAGTGCGCAGTGGTGGAGGCTGAGGCTTTGTGCATGTGGTGGCAGCATGGCCGCTGGTGGCACTGCTGTGCACTGCAGATGGATGGCGTGGCCGTCGTGCTTTTGTTCAAGGTGCGGGACGGTACGCGGTGCTTGGGCTCCAGTGTTTGGACTGCCAGCCCGGGGCTGGTTTCTTATGTCAGCCGACGCCCTCCCTCCACCCACCATTCTGGGTGAACAAATGCTGGGGTGGCGGCTGGAACGTGTGTGGTCTTTGGAGGAAAAGGCGCCCGGCATACGGCTCAAGGTCCCGTCCCGTGGGGCTGCGTGGGGCGCTGAGAACCGATGATGCGGGCCCGTCGTCTGGAACCTGTTCCCCAGTCACGGGGGTGGAAGATGAGGTGTGTCGAGGTGACGTGCCTTTTGCTCTGCACTTGGGTTCAGGACGTGGGCTGAGCCTGTGGGACTCATCCTGGTGGGGCCTGCGGCCTGGCCTTGGCTCCCCCCACTCCGTGGTGCGCGTCGGGGGCCTGCCTTCTAGGGGCCTGCGTCTAGGGGCCAAGTGGGCCCAGGGGTTCCTTCTTGGGGGGTGAGCCCAGCCACAGGCAGGGTACAGGGTCCCACGGGACGGAGGGCCTCACAGGAGAGTAGTGCTGAGCTGGGAAGGGTGAGAGGGCCTGCAGGGGAGGGGAGGGGAGGGAGGG